GACAATGGCTGGGAAGCCCCAGTGCTCACTGTTGCCACCTCCTCCACCAGCCGAGGTCCAACTGTGTGTCCCCAAGAATTCTAGTCATTCTGGCAGAGCTGGCACTGGAACCAGAGCCCAGATGTGCTGTCTCCAGAACCCGATGGTATCTGGATGCTCTGGGCTCTCAGCACCACAACTGGGACCCTCAAGAGCACAGGCTGAGTCATCAGGACCCTTGGTCAGTGACAACTCATTTCTGGTTCTTGCCCAGCTGCCCTGCAACCTCAGTACCAGCCGGGTAGTCCTCATGGATTCCTTTTGACTTTCACATGGAAGGAGGCATGGGATTGTGCCCAAGCACTGGGAGCAGCAATAGGCTGCCACCTATTCAGGGCTCTGCCAAGAGCCAGGAAGGTGCTTGGTATGTTCTCCCTAAAACCTGGCAAACAAAGCGTCGTTAGCCCCATTCCACGAGAGAACAAGGGCCAGTGCAGAGCAAGGCCACCCAGAGGCCAGGCCAGTTTGGCTCTGAAACTCCCATTTTGTCCATTTTCCTACCATTGTACCCAACATGAGGTTTCTCCAGCAGAAGTTTTAATAACAGCATGTTCCTCCTGAGCCCTAAAACCATGCTTAGCTCACTATCAGCCTGAGATCGGTATGTAACCCCTGGCCCAACTGAATGTAACAAAGTTTCCACAGTTGCTTATGAAAGTAGCCAAGAACCCTGTGTCCACTGGAAAGAAGAGGTGATCCTTGCTTTGACAAGTTCATTCTGCTTCCTGGCTCAGCATTAGAGGGAAAATTCAACAGGTCTGCACATTATGCCCCTGGTGTGCCAGAGGTCATTTCTTAGAGGCGCTTTCTTAGAAACACTTTCCATCTTGATGCCAATCCTGAGTCCCTCAGTGACTGGGGCCAGGTGTAAAGATCAGGCACGAGCGTGATCAGGGATCAGCACAAGGGCTCCACTAGCGAATTCTCCACAAAGAGTAAATCATCAAAGAAACATAGTGATGGGTCATAGCTGGGCTGGGCCAGGCTGCTTCCAGCTGCAGGACCTTTGCACAGGTTGTTCGTTGTGTGGGCGACACCCTTCGTCCTTTCCCCTGCCCTCCCTACTTGGCTTCATTCATTTATTCCCAATGCTCACCAAAGAGCTGATTCCTGGGGAAAGCCATGCTGACTTTCTGTGCTCATCTGCCCCCTGTCATCCATGATGACAGCCATAGCTGTGTTTCTTGAGCATCGCTGCGGTGGTTACCTACTTCTAGCTTTTTAGTGGGGGTTTGCCCCATTCATGAAGGCAGGGAACACGTTGGACTTGACTGTACCGTACCATAGGCACCCAGTCAACACTGGACAGATGGAACGAGTTGGTTAGTTTCCTTTCCCTTGACTTTAGACAAAAGTTTCTTCTGAGCTGGGAAAGGGGAATACTGATCTGTTGACATGTCCCTTTTGGGAGCCTCTTTGAAGCTTCTTTAGAAATCTAGAGTCTAAAAGCCAACATTGTGGCATAGTGAGTAAATCTACCACCTGCAGCGCCGCCAATCCATATGGGCACTGGTCCCAGTCCCAGCTGATTCAGTTCCCTGCTAATGTATCTGGAAAAGCAGTGGAGGATGATTCAAGTGTTTGGGCCCCTGCAGCCTTGTAGGAAACCTGAAAGAAGTTCCTGGTTCCTGACTTCAGCCTGGCCCAGTCACAGAAGACACAACCATTTGAGAAGTGAGCCAGTGGATGAAAGATATCTCTGTTTGTGTGTGTCCTTCTCTTTCAAATAAATCTTCAATTTTAAAAATATATAGCTAAGGGGCCCGGCGCGGTGGCGCAGTGGTTAAGGTCCTCACCTTGCACGCCCGGGATCCCATATGGGCACCGGTTCTATCCCGGCAGCCCTGCTTTCCTTCCAGCTCCCTGCCTGTGGCCCGGGAAAGCAGTTGAGGACAGCCCAAAGCTTTGGGACCCTGCACCCGCGTGGGAGACCTGGAAGAGGCTCCTGGCTTCGGACCGGCATAGCATCGGCCCTGCGCTCACTTGGGGAGTGAATCATCGGACGGAAGATCTTCCTCTCTGTCTCTCCTCTCTGTATATCCGCCTTCCCAATGAAAAAATAATAAAAATAAATCTTTAAAGCTAGGGCCCGGCGCGATGGTGCAGCGGTTAAGGTCCTTGCCTTGCACGCCCGGGATCCCATATGGGCGCCGGTTCTAATTCCCAGCAGCCCCGCTTCCCATCCAGCTCCCTGCCTGTGGCCTGGGAAAGCAGTCGAGGACGGCCCAAAGCTTTGGGACCCTGCACCCACGTGGGAGACCCGGAAAGAGGTTCCTGGCTTCAGATTGGCACAGCTCCAGCCAATGTGGCCGCCTGGGGAGTGAATCATCGGACAGAAGATCTTCCTCTCTGTCTCCCCTCTCTGTATATCCGCCTTTCCAATAAAAATAAAATAAATATTTTAAATATACATATATATATATAGCTAGACTATCCCTTCACCAGCTGTGGAGTAGATGGCCAATGAAAACCGACCACATGGTTGTCTAAGCTTTGCTCTTTCCCCGAGTTCCCAGGACTTCGGACACCTGTGCACACGGAGGGCACAGGGGGTGCCTACACCTGTGGAGGCTGAGTGAGGTCCACTCGCAGCTGTTCCTCAACTCCTCCCTGCAGCCCAGTATTCCAGTTGCCAGTTACTATGCTGACTTCTTTGTACACAAACAGTTGTTCCCCCCCATAACTTGCCTTGCGCCAGCATTCAGAGAGAATGATAACAATCCTTGTCGCGTTAGCGACGTCGCGTCAAAAACATTCTGTTGCTATAGAAATGTTTGGGATGTGCTTCTTGCTAGAAGCTCACGGGCAACGAACTCCAGAATTGCAGATGATTGCGTCTGAGGCGGAGTGAGCACGTATGTGTGTTTGTATTGAACAACAACAACAAAAAAAAAACACAAAAAGCAAAACACAAAACAAACAAGCCTTGGAAATGCGATGCTCCTATAATAGAAAATAGGAACGACTTAAAAGCTGTAGCACTTTCCCTTAAACATTCAAATGGGTGAAAATGACTTTGAGCACAGCCTGCAAGTGTGAAGACACCAGGTATTCAAAGGCTTTTTTTGGAGCTGTCAGAGACAAAAGATTTCTCAAAAAAAAAAAGCATTATTGTAGCATTAAATAGTAGGCATGAACACCAGCAACCCTCTTGACATTTTAAAGATGCTTTATCTTCTGAAACGTCCCAGTCCGTTTGAATGGATGACTGTTCTATTCAGGGAGGCATCTTCGGCCGGGGTTGCCATAGTTCGGGTTGGGAAGTTCAGGCTGGGGGCGGACAGGGATCCAGGGACAACTTTCTGGGTGCCTCAGTCTTTTGTTAGAAGGGTGCTGCAGAAAGCTGATGGGGAAAATGGCATTAAAAAGTAAGTTGGCAGGAGCAGGTGTTGAACGTAGCAGTTAAGACGCCCACGGCCCCTGTCTCTAAGCCCTGGCTCCTGACACCAGCTGCCTGCTAATGGAGACCCTGGGAGGCCTCAGGTGATTAGGTTCCCCCCACTCCCAGGCACCAGACCCAATTTGAGTTCCTGGCTTTTGGCTTCTGGCTTCAGCCTAACTGCAGCCCCAGCTGTTGTAGGGAAGTCTTTGAAAAGTGAGCCAGTGGTTAACGGCTCGTTCTCTCTTATTTTAAAAACCCCAAGTATGTTTTGCTGCAAAAAGGATTGTGAAATACATGCATTATAAATATTAAAGGTTTGTTTTTTTTTTGAAAGGCAGATTTACAGAGAGAAGGAGAGACAGAGATTTTTTTTTTTCCATTTGCTTCTTCATTCCCCAAGTGGCTGCAACAGCTAGAGCTGAACTGATCCAAAGTCAGGAGCCAGGAGCTTCTTCTGGGTTTCCTACATGAGTGCAGGGGCCCAAGGACTTGAACCAGCCTCTGCTGCTTTCCCAGGCCATTACCAGGAAGCTGGGCCACAAACCAGCACCAAATGGGATGCTGGCTCTTGCAGGTGAAGGATTAGCCTGCTGAGCTACTGCATCGGCCCCTATATATGATACACTTTTTCATGAGACGTGTTTTCCACAAATATTTTCAAGTCCTCTCATCCCTAAATACAATAGGTTGGTGCTGTCACCTCTCTCCTGGGAGCGAGGCTCTTTTACAGAGCAGAGAGGGAAATTGAAATCATGTTGATTTCCAGGCTTCCTGTGTGAGCCAGGATGGCAGCAGTCCCTGGGAAGGCCTGGCTGCACTGTGGGAGGAGCGTGGGCCTCAGGAGGAGCACCTGGCCGAAGACTGCCTGCTGATTCCAGTCCAGAGAGAGCACTTTGGGTTTTCTATTCCAATTGGACGGGATAACCTGTGGTATCCTAATGTTAAAGAGTGGCTTGCTCCTGTTACTTTTTTTTTTTTTTAAAGCAATTCCTTGTTCTTCCATCCCATAAGAACACTCATCCATGCCAGATTTTTCCAGAGCATTCACGGCCCCTTTGAGAAGCCCTGTGTCAGTCAATGGGGGTTCTAGGATAAGTTCATTTTGTACAGATTTTTTCAGTCCATACATGTGTGGCATTTTCATCAAGTTCACAGAAGTTGTATAGTAAGAAAAAACTATATGTGGGTTTCAGCTTTTGGGGCACCAAAATAAGCTTATTTTGTACAGTCTGTTTTGCTGTTAATTTTGTAAGCTGTTGAGTGGATTTGGGGAAATCCTGGCACTCACTGAATTTTGTTGTATCAAGTCATCCCCCTACTCTCCGTGCCCACCCCACCCCACCCAGCATCCCTGTTTCTAGGGAGCGGGAACAGTGTCTGGTTCATGATTATGGTTGCTGTTGGATTCTCCAGTGTGCTGCCTGCTGCATCATAGGCTTCTGCAGTACATGAGTGTAGATGAGGGCGGCTTCAGAGTTCCCTAGGCTCTCTGGAACTCTCTCCTTGGTGGGAGGATGCTGATAGCGAGCTGAGAGCAAACAGGAAAGGCCGTGACCTTGTCTTCTCCTTGTCTCCACAGAACCAGGTTTCCTCTTCGCACCTGCCCAGCAGCATGAAAGCAGCATGACTGGCCGGCCGCAGGAGAAGCCCCCAGAACCAGGCCCCCAACTCAGCCACCTGCTGCGGAGGTCCAGGTAAGCTTGCGCTGCTCCTTCTGGAAGGTAGAGGGACTTTCCCCAGGGCCCTTTTCTGCCGTGACCTTGGAGAAGAAGGTGTGGCAGAGGAAGGCATGGCAGAAGAAAGTGTGAGTAGTGGGGAGTGCCGAGTGTGCCCACTTCTGCAAGGGTAGAGAGACAGAATGAGGGGCATCCAGGATGCTGCGTCAAGTGTTGGAGATGTAGGAGTTCCCTGTATTCCGCCACCAGGGTCCTTGGGAATTTGCAATGAAGATATCTTAGAAGGGCTGGAATTGGTTAGAACCCTTACCCCTCAATCTGCGACTCCCAACGTGCCAGATTGAGTCCTGTCCCACACAGAGGGACATGAGGCCATCCACCACGCCCATTCCCCACCAATAGTAGGTAGAAAATTCCTCCTTCTCTGTAGCTGCTGACTTCGGCTGTCACAATTCTGCTTTCTCGTCTACTCTCTTCCTTAGAAACCTTGTGCTTTTGTCCCTTCCCACTTGCAAGACGCTCCCTTACTGCAGGGTCTGTCTGCCCTGCCACATGCTCCCTCCATGTGTGCTGTCCTCGGCAGAGAATCAGTCATTCCTTATCCAAAGCCTCCTCTGTGCTGGGCACTGGCCCAGCCTCCAGGAGAGAAGCCGGGTCTCCTGTCTTTAAATAGGTTTGGATCCTTAGAAGGCATGTGAAGGATGCTTTGAGCTATGCCTGTTCTTTAAGTATTAGCCCTTTGTTGCAACTTCTTAAATGTTGCAGAATGGCTTCAAAATGTGTATTCTTTCATTGGTTTTTGCGTTTATTTGAAAGATAGAGGAGTGGCTTGAGAGAAAGAGAGAGGGAGATCTTCTATCTGCTGCCTGGTTTACTGCCCTCAGCCACAACAGCCAGGCTTGGCTCAACCTAAAGCTTGGAGCCTAAAAATCCATCTGGGTCTCCACGTGCTTAGCTGGAGCCCAAGTTCTCGGGCCTCTTCTGCTGCCTTCCCCTCGCAGGAAGTTCGTTTGGAAGCAGAGCAACTGGGACTCAAACTAACTCCCTGGTATGGGAAGTGGGCACCACAAGTGTTGACTTATCCTTCTGTGCTACAACAGGGGTTCCTGTTTAATTATCAAGTATAATTTTCTACATGTGGTCATTAGAATGTAAGTTGGTTGTGCTATTCAAAGATCACTTCTAATGTGTCCTTTTATGATTTTTGTCTGATAAATATATAAATGATTAGGGGAGATGGGTTACAATCTCCTCCCGGATTTGCAAATTGCTCCTGGCAGAACTGAAAGTTTCACTTTATAAATATTAAGGCAGTGCTGTTTGATGCATAAATGTTTATAATTAGTGCTTTATATTGTGTTTATTTCCTCATGTGCATTTGGGCTAGGTTTTTTTGGGTGTGTGCTCTTTTTTTTTACATTGTGTATTGGTATTTCCCTCCCATCTTGTCTGGAATTTACATACTCTTTGTACTTTCAGTTACTCTAGCTATTTTAGCAGGCAGTGTACAAAGTATGAAATGAATTATTATGAAATAAAATGAATTGCCTCCCTACTAATCAGTGTAAGCATCACAGGCTGGTTCAGCTCTTTTTTTTTTTTTTTTTTTTTTTTAGTTTAGTTATTTTTATTGGAAAGGCAGAGTTACACAGAGAAAAAGATCTTCCATGCACTGGTTCACTTCCCAAGTGGCTGCAAGGACTGGAGCTGAGCCAATCTGAAGTCAGGAGCCAGGAGCTTCTTCCAGGTCTTCCATTCAGGTGCAGAGTCCTAAGGCTTTGTTTGAGTCATCCTCTTCTGCCTTCCTAGGCCATAAGCAGGGAACTGGATGGGAAGTAGAACAGCCAGGACACAAACCAGTGCTCCTATGTGATGCCAGTGCTTGCAGGTGGAGAATTAGCCAGTTGAGCCATCATGCCGGCGTTCTAATTGCTACCTGTCCCAGCTCATCTTTCATGGTTACCCTGTATTTTTACCCTTCCCTTTTCCCCCTACACATTAGCTTTGTGTGATGCAGCATGGGCATGGGTTTATACACCAACATACATGTCTTTTTTTGGTTTTTTTTTTTTCACCATTTCTTCCTTGAACCTGGGATCAATTTCCTTCTGCCTGATAAATTCCTAGGTATTATCTTTTAGGAGAGTCTTTTGGTGATGAACTCTGAAGATTTTTCTGCTTTGGCTTGGTTTGGGTCATTGAGTTGGAGATGTCTTTATTTTGCTCAGTCTTGAAAAGTCATTTTACTGGGCATTTAATTTTGGGTCATTGGGTTATTTCGCTCCCTGTGGCTTGAATGCTATTGTTGAGAAACCAGCTCTCAGTCATTCCTTGGTGAGTGATCTGACTTTTCTCTCTACCTACCTGAAAGATTTGTGGTGGTCTTTGATGTTCTGCAGCCTAATTACCCAGAGTAAATGCTTCTGTCTTTAACTGGTTGGTTTCATCAGGATGCCTAAAACTAAATATTTGTGTCCTCCAATGGCTCTGGAAAATCTTCACCCTTAATTTCTCTGAATGTTGTGTTTTCCCCATTTTCTTTGTTATCTCCTTCTGAAACCCCATGTGAACTCCCTCCCTCAATTCTTTGTTCTTTCTAATCTCTGCTTTAGATTTTTTTAATCGGTCTCCCATGCTGTATTGTGAATAATTGCTTCACATCTAGCGACTACTTAACTAATTTATGGTAAGTCTTAAGTGCTACCTAGTCCATGCATTGTATTTTCTATGTCATTACCTGTATTTGTTGTTTCTAGAAGTTTCGGGCCATTATTTTTCTAATCAACATGGTCATTTTTCTGGTCTTTTACTTCTTGCTCATATTCGAAGAATTTTTGTGTCTTTGAAATGTTGCATTTAACAATTTTAGGCTTTCCTGTCTGGTAATTCTAGAATCTGAAGTCCTTGCAGGTCTGCTTCTGCCATCTGTTGTTTCTGCTGCTGGTATTCATGGCATTTTACTTCCCAGGAATTTTACCTTTGGGAATTAATTGAGATGTGGGTTGAAGCTGATTTTTCCAGAGAGGATTAGGTGGGGAGGGAGTAGAGCGAATTTACTATTGAGCTAACATCACTGTAGATTAATGCTCTACTTAAGTTTTTGCTGATCCCACAAGTAACACCATTCAGACTGCAGACCCATTTGCAGAAGTTGGGTTTACCTCCATTCTTCCTAGCCTAAGGTCCTGTTTGCTAGAAGTCCCTTTCTGAGTTGTGCGTTTATGTGCACAGTGGGTGCTTCAAGGAGGGAGCCCTTTGAAGCCCACCTTCATGAATCTCCTTAGGCTTTAGCCCCTTCCCGGGGTTCCTGCCCTTCGCTTTGTTTTGGTATACTCTACATTCCTAAAGGCTCATTAATGTGTGGATTTCTTTTCTTTTTTTCTTTCTCTCTCTCTTCCTTCCTTCCTTCCTTCCTTCCTTCTTTTTTATGATTTTTAAAAAGACAGATTTACATAGAGGAGAGACAGAAAGATCTTTGGTCTGCTGGTTCACTCCCCAAGTTGCCATAATGGCGGGAGTTAAGCCAGGTCTCCCACTTGGTTGCAGGGTCCTAAGGTTTTGGGCTACCCTCTAATGCTTTCCCAAGCAGGGAGCTGGAAGGGCAGTGGAGCAGCCATGACATGAACCAGTGCCCATATGGGATCCTGGAGCTTGCAAGGGGATTGAGCCACTAGGCCATCACATTGGGTCCTGGATGATCTTTGTCTTTAAAACCTTATCCAACAAGTCAGTGGTTCCCGTGAGCAAGGTGCACTAGGGTATCTGGTAGACTATCTGCCTAAGAAGTAGTTCTCTCTGCTTCTCCATAGTAACCCTGTGGGGCAGGAACATCTATGCTTATTACACATTAGAGTGAAAAAGGCTCAGAACAGGTATGTGACCTGCTTGGGGCACAGTCTAGGGCCTGAGGGACCAGGAGGAACCATTTCCCTCTCTTGTCCCCTTTCCCTACGTTCCCCCTCTACAAGGTAACTGCTGGCCATCTAGGGGAACATTAGCTTTATGCTTGCGGGATGGGTTTCCCTCAGAATGCTTTAAATAGCTGCATGGCTTGGTACAATTTGTTTATGTATCTATTGTTTATCTTCCTTGAGAGAGGAAATGGCTTCTGCATATTTTGTGGCTTGCCTCTCCCTTGGTCACCAACAGCTTCTCTCTTCACCCCACCCTGCAGAGGCCCTACATGAGCCTCCTCTCCCCTCTGCCCTTCTCTCCCTCCCTTCCCCAACCCCATCCTCCCTGCCCTTAATTTTTACCCCTGCCTTCCATTGGAAGGGAAGACTATGGATCCATGGTTTGGCTTTGGGGACTGTGGCAGGGCTGGGGGAACAGGGGAAGGGAGAGAGAGAAGGTTGAGCTGGAAGCTAGCCCTGCCTGTTGCTCACTTCATCTCTCAGAGTCCCAGTAATGTGGGGGTGAGGCAGGAAGCTGTTCTGGGACCAAGAGAGAAGCCGTGTACAGAACTGGCAGCTCGGAGTTTGAATGTCCTGCACACTCCCAGTGGATGCCAGTATAGTTACAACCCACATGTTCAGCAGTGCTTATACATGAACAGAGCTGGATATAGCATTGGATGAAAACAGATGCAGGAATCTGGTGTCAAGGTGGGACTCCCAAACATGTTATGCTCTTTGAGATGGTTTGTTTGTTTGTTTAAATCTTCCAAGTGAAAACAAACATACAAGTCTGTCCTGTGTCTGCAGGCAATTCTGGGAGTGGGACTGAGACCACCTCACCACCTGCCGGCATCTTGGCCCTCCCTCCACCCTGTGCCCTGCGCTGTGGCCATAGGTGGGCTAGAGCCACACAATGCCATCACTATGGAGATTCCCCCCAACCACAGCCTCCAGGCAGAGGGGTGGCACAACTGCTCTGCAAACACATTTTCAGGGTGTTGGGCTAGGAGGGAGGGTCTTCCACATCCATCCACTTCTATTCCTTTGAGGGGCATGAGACCTCTTCATGTGCTTCCTGCTAGTCAGGAACCTTGTGCTACTTCCTGATTTGATGTCTAACAG